AACGTCACGTCAACGTTTCTGTATGAAGTCTATTCCCAGTATGCACTCCTCCTCAATGCCAATTACTCATAAATATCATGTTGTGACCTTCAATTTTCCTCTTGCTGGAATTTTATCATCACTTATTATTCGCATCAATCCATCTTATGTCTCCATCTATGGAGGCGATTTACCACATTTCATTACCAAATAGGGTCGAACAATGGTAACTGTAGAATCAGTGTCGATCAACATCTTTCAAGGCTTTACAACAATGAATCCGTTAACTCTTGAACTAATTTCCTTGAATAATGAACTTCTCATCTGAGGTGGGGAAGAGGGAGTATTTTTATCTGAGCTTTGCCCTTTAAGTCCAGCTAATTCCTGGTTTGTGACGTCTAAGAGCTAACTAGTCCCTTATGCATCTTTATTGTCTTTCCTTCGGCCTGTTTAGAACTATGGAACTTATCCGCAGGTTAATGTTGCATTGGTTTATTATCATCTGCTCATTCATCACAGTATCAACTGTAATGTCCATGTTTTCGACATTTGTACTAGTTCGCTGTTTATTTTCTCTTTTGGTTCAGGTTTTATATCCTACATCCTTTTGTCTTCAATTCCTGATAATATTAGGTCGTCAAGAAATTAATGTCGCTTATTTTCAGATGAAAAAACTCGAACAACTTATATATCAAAACAAAGCATTTATTAAATGAAATAGTCTCCATTCTTATCGATGATGCTTTTCCATCTTATAATCAGGTTGTTATTGCCCTGATTAAAGAAATCACTTGGCTTTGAAGCAAAAAACATGCCGATGTCCTCTTTAACACCTTCCATATTTGCATACGTTTCCCCACTAAGATGGTGTTGTAGCGAACGAAAAAGATAGTAATCTGATGGTGCCATATCTGAAGAATATGGTGGGTGGGGGAAAACTTCCCAAGCCAACTCCATGATCTTGTGTTGCGTCAAACGTGCCACATGTGGACGTGCATTGTTGTAGAGAAGAACACCTTTTCGACTGACGAGTGAAGGGCGTTTCGAATGAAG